CTATCGCCCGAGTACACAAAATCATTCATATATAACCTACTATCAATTGCCCTCTTAGCTTTAGGATAAGAAGGACCTTCATCAGAGGCGAGCTGTCTCACCGCGCGTAGCGCATGAAATGGGCTCGACTTTAAACCAAAGCAAACGCGATTGAATTCAAACACCATTAGAGGTTCCTTTGGGTTAAAGCGATATAAAATGCGTTGAAATCGACGGTCGCATTAACGGACCTCTATACAAAGAAACATTTGGCGAATATCAGCGGATAGTGCTATACTAAACAATCGAAAATTTGCTATTATATTAAATAAATTGCCCTGTAAAATTTGCCCATTATAGAGGACATCGTTAAGAGAAAGGTGAGTGCTAGTTCTAGCACTAGCATCGAGCACTACACGTAACTTGGACGTAAGCTTGTCTTCCCTAATGACACCGTGATGTGGTACGAAATACGACGGCACGTCTTCGTAGTTATCTGATTTTGGAGCCACAAGTGATATGTAACCCTCCCTTATATATGCATTAATGACGCCGTCATAAGCTTCTTTTAATCTGGGCGAAGCGAGCATCCTGCGTTTTTCCGCCATTGGACGAGAGTCGCCGAGAGACAAAACATCTCCTTTAAAGGGTAGCGCTACACTATATCGACCGTCGCGATCACGAACGGTCGTGCGGACGTAAATTTCCTCGCATAATCTATCATCTGGACTAACTATAGGTAGAACGTTCACATCCTCCATCTCCCAAAATTTGCGAACTAACGTCTCGAGCGGTTCGACAGCCACAACAATAAGAAGGTTGCCGAAATACTATCCATGATAGGGGCGGAACCAACGATGACGTAGCCCAAGGCGGCATCCCGTGCGTAAGGCGCGGTATGCGAGGGGTTGCCCCTGACCTTATTTTGTAACAAAAGATGAGGGAAAAGCTATGTTCCAATGAGCATATCTATATCTCCGGGAACGGCGTAAGTATAGTCTGCAAGAGTCAAATTCTCAAAATCAATAATTGCCGAGGCGTCGACCGAAACGGTTGGCAGACGCTCGGTGACTCTATCTACTACTAATGCGTTTATATTAAAATTAATACTACGATCTAGCCGAGAATAAAATTTCAAATTTATAGAGCCCTAGTTAATTTTATTAGTACCTCCGATACATTTGTCTACGGGACATGAAGGTGTCTTATTTATTAGCAATCCTAAACGCTGGCACCATTGTCGCGTTATAAAGCTACACTGTGATCCGCAGTCTAGCAACTTACGGACACTTTGTTCGTTTCCACGCGAATCCCTAACTACGATACGGGCTGTACCCAGCAGCACGATGAAAGTAGTCTGCGTTCCCGTATTCGAAAGTGAGCACAGGGCGACGTCACCCGGTCGACCGTTAGAAGCGTCGACTTTAGTATGTGTAGTTTCCTTGTCCGAATTATTCGACGCGAATATGTTGCCACCTTCGAAATGTAATAACGTGTGATGTCTGCTGACACACTTGTTACACACGGAACTAGAATTGCATTTAGCAACTAAATGTCTATCGCTTAGGTAATTTAAACATAAGTTGTTCGTCTTTACTATTGCATAACGTTCGCTGGGTGAATGTTTACGGAAGGTCGCACAATTATACAAATTACCGTGTTTTTTATTCTTACATAGAACACAGGCGCTATGAGACGATGTAGGCGCAGCGGTTACGTACGTCAGCGACCCAGCAGTCCTAGTTGACTGTCTGCGGTCGACACATTTCTTAACTTCTTGTTTGACATTCGAGAAACGCTGAATCTCTTTAATTTGATCTCTTACAAAGGGTGCTTAGGAGTCGAATGACGGTAACTCAGAGCTACGATTCTCCATTTCAAACGCACGCGCGGTGTCCGAGTTTAGTTTATTTAAGGCGATATGGAGAAACACCACGTCCATAAGGTCATTAAATTTCAGGTTCTTGAGTGCAGCCACCGATGCTACAAATTTATCTAAAAACTGCTCTAAGCCAGTGATGTTCGCGGATGATATAGCTTTAAGATCGAATATCTGGTCTAAATATGCAGAGGCTAGCATTTGCTTATCTTCATATTTGGTTTTAAGCGTTTTGAATATTAACGAATAATTGTTTGCTGTTGGTGTGAAACCCGAACAAATGGACTGTGCCCTACCACTCAATTTACTAATTAAATAATACAATCTTTCAGCGTCTTAAAACGATGGATTATTATGCACGGTGTTTTGAAAGCTATTAAAAAACAACGGCCCATTTTTAATATCTCCATTGAATACCGGAATATCTGGTTTTGCTTCGCTTTGGGCTGGAGACTGTAAGAGCTATCCATCCTTTTTAGTCGACACAAAATATCTTCAAATGATAGAAGTGGTTGATAGTTAACTGTATACTTAGGTTCGATTTGTAATTATAAATTATTAATTTTGTCTAATATATTTTCGTAATCCGATCGCAAAGAGTCCACCGTTCCGATTTCACATAAAAACGTTTCCCGCACTGAATCTATGTTAATATTTTTATGTGATCACTTATATATTGTGTACGTGAAAAAAGTAACTTCCTCTTGGCGTAAAGAGTTTTAAGTTTAATTTCATTTCCACTAACTGCCATCTTGAATCACTATAATTAATTAGATCAATCACAAAGAATATCGTACAACGCTGGAAGATGAACACAATGCGCTACGTGCCGTATTACGTCGTTAAATTAAACACGCTGTCAGTAATATTTTTTTCGTTAAGATAACTTGCAATCAAAAACGAGATAACACGCGTCGACTAGATAAGAATTTAAAGCCCGTATAATTATGAATAGCGGGTAAGATAAACAAAATTAAGCGAATCTAACTATTTAAATAAATAAGTATCTATTTATATCCTATGCGAATAAACTAACCAAAATTTAAATTTAAACTAAAACAAAACTACATAAATCTATCCAATATTAATTTGGAGTGTATTGTCTAAGGATTTCGTTCAGCAGTTCGACTCGATGAGGCTATAGGACGCCAGTTCCAAATCCGCTCGAATGACCAGAAAATGGTTGGTCGGCGGGCTTAAGGGTTCCTGAGTTCGATTCCCAGGTTGAGCCTTGACCTTATTATGCGAGATATTTGTATATACGATGGCTTCTTATGCCTCAACAAGATGGCGGATGTGACACGCGGCACCTTAGACAATGCACTCGCTCTTCCAAATCTATTGCTTGCCAAGGTTAGGAGGGGATTCTACTTGAGCACATTAGGAGAAATAAAATGGGGCGGGTTAACTAACAAACAAAATGCTCAAGTCGGAGCAAAATTACGGGAAAACACTTATCGGGGTGTGATTCTGGTGCGGTGGACGACGCTTCCGTTGCGGTGATGCGACGTGAGGTGGGTTCTTCTGGGGCGCCCCAGAGATGCGATCCAGGCCAGTGGTGCGAAGGAAGAGAGCGGCGCGCGACGATATCTCACACTATGTGAGGCGGTTACTTCTGGAGCACGACTGCTCCAGGTAATGCGGTTCAGACTAGCGGCACGTGGCAAAAGCACGCTCAAGGGCAGCGCGCGAGCCTTTATTGTTTCGGCTTTTTCCACCAAGCACCTCGGTCGGGCGCGCTTCTCATTGGTCGAAAGAATCGCGTCACCTTCTAGACTCCTCCCTCTCTCCTCTCTCTCTCCTCAAAGGATGGGTAGACGCTTGGCAATATACCCTCGAATAAAATTAAAATAAACGAATCGTTTTCAGCGTAACCATTACGTTTAATCAAGAAACGTAAGTCAGTTTTTTCCTCTCAGATAACACCAGTCTTTGCGAGTGTGCTTTGGTCATAGCGATTTCTCCTATATCTCTCATCTTCTTCCTTTTGTTACCCAAGTTTACCTTGTTGAAATCATTTTGACTATAAGATGTCTTATAGTAAAATTTAAGTATTTTAGTCTTTAGGATTTTTACGTCATTCCAAGTCACATTGCCTTTATTTTCACTTTCAATAAAGTTATAAGCCCATATCTCTTGTAACATCTTGTCCCAAAAAAATCATTGTCATCATTGTTAAATTTGTCACTAAATATTTCATTGTCAGCAACGCTGGAATTTAACAAGGTTTCAGTAAATATAAAAATGTCCAAATGACTATTAAGTATTTTTTGACGCATTACTGTTAATGTGGATCTAAGTCCTCTCATATTTTGATAATAGCAACTGATAGGTGTTGACATATAATGTTAAAATAAGGATGTATTAAAAATATTAAAAAATAGGGGTGTGACCAAATAAACTAAAAAAATTAAATTAAATACTAATGATTTGCAAGAACCTAAGAGAAACAAAACACTTTATTAAATTAGGTTCACCGGTACAACGGAGTTGCGCATAAATTTGTAAATTTGTATTCTTTATATATCCTGTTTTGAATAGTTTTATTAAGTACTGATGGTAAACAGTCACTGAGTCAAGTTTAATGTCAAGATGTGAGTTCCTAATGAATCATAAGCATCTTTGTACCCTCTCTCAATTGAGTTGTCAACCCTTGTATCAAGTTATATACACACAGGATTTCACATGGTAAAAAATAATCTGTCACCTAATAAATCAATGTTTTGCCAAATGAATGTGACAACCGTGCTTATGATTTAATTGATAGATTTTTTAAATCCGACAACGTCGTAAGTTTATAATCGGCGGTGGCTAGTTTATAAACTAAAAATAACTATATGCAATATTGAAGGCCCATTAACCCTAGAATACTAATCATCCACCTGAGAGGCCGCGCGCGGTCAGTTTTTTTCGTTATTTTAAAAACTCAGTTTCTCAATTCAGTATACCTCACACCGCGGTGGGGAGCAGTTGCGGGCTCGCTGAGGTCTCTCCGTTATCAAAATATAAGCTATTGAATCGCCTGGGAGGCGATCATTAGTATTAACGGTAAGTTTAGTTTTCTTTACTTATTTTGATTTTTGCTTTTTTTTTTTTGTATTTAGCCTTCTTATAACTTAGAAAATGTTTATTTTATTTTTAAATGAGTCTCAATAAAGAACAAGTAGCGGATCTTTTGCAAAATAAGAACTCCGATAGCGAAATCGAGGACAACTTGGAAGTCGATCCTTATGACTCTGACGATAGCGCAGCAGATCCTTCTTTCGTGCCATTTCGACTGGAAGAAGACCTACAAAATATTTTGTTAGACGATTCTGAATCCCCAACAATTTCAGTACCATATCAAGCCACTAGCAATGCGTCAGATTCATGAGTTCCTGCGTCACAAGAAGAACAAACAGCGGAAAATCTTATTATTTTGCCTTCTGCGTTGACTGTGAGAGGTAAGAACAATTATATTTGGTCTAGAGAAACATATAGTAGGTCACGATCTATGCCAACCGCTGCCGGTAACGTAGTCCATATTTCTCCCGGCCCAAAGCTGGATGGTAGAGATGTCATTAGACCATTAAACTGATTTCAAAAAATTTTTACTTCAGAAATGATGGATGAAATTCTCCTGCGCACTAATGAAGATATTTTAGTCAAAGCCAGCAAATATAAACAGCAAAGTTCGACCATATCAATGCTAAGAATAGAAGAACTTAATGCACTGCTTGGTCTTATAATTTTCAGTGGTGCTATGGGTAATAACGATTTACCGACCAGAGAGCTTTTTGATTCCACACTTTGTGGTTCAAAATACATAGCTTCAATGAGCTTGGAACGTTTCGAGTTTCTCTTACGCTGTCTTTATGTTGATAACCCGTGAAAACAGAAGAACGAATGACAAATTTGCACCCATCCGAAACATCTGGGAGATATTTATACAAAGATGTAGAGATCTTTACAAGCCATGCGCCTACATAACCATCGATGAACAGCTGCTTGCTATCAGAGGTCGATGTATGTTCAGAATGTATTTACCGAATAAACCAGCCAAGTACGGCATAAAGATAGTTTTGGCTTGTGATGTGAACAGTAAGTACATGTTTTATGCTTGTCCCTACTTAGCGAAAAACGCTGAAACTGCCCCGGCCGAACCTCTTGGTACTCATTAGTGCAAGCTGCTTACGAAGACTATTTATGGGAGCAACCGTAACGTCACCGCAGACAATTAGTTCACATCGGTACCTCTAACTGAGCAACTTCTGGAAGATCCGTACAATTTGACATTCATTGGAACAATAAAAGCCAATAAAAAAGAAATACCATCAGAGTTCAAACACAATCCATCACGTCGTATCGGTACATCTACGTTTGGTTTTCACAATAAACTCACACTAGTTAGTTTCAAACCGAAATCCCAAAAAACAGTACTTCTATTGTCTACCATGCACAATGAACCGGTAATAGATCCCGTAACGAAAAAGCCTGAAATCATTTTGTCTTACAACAAAACTAAAGGCGCTGTGGATACATTCGATCAAATGTGTGGTCATTTGAGTTGTAATTGCAAAACAAGACGTTGGCCGCTGTGCCTATTCGATGGGATGATCAGCATGGCTGTATTGAATAGCTACATATTGCATGTATCCAATTTGAAGACTCGCGGGACTAAGCCAATGAACAGAAGAGAGTTCATTAAAGAACTGAGTACTGAGTTATGTCAACCGTGGTGTGAATTGAGAGGTGAGGAGCGACCGAAAATGAGAAAACGAGTTAGAGACGCTATACAAGAGGTTTTGGCTCCCGAAAATCATCCAACTGTGACTGAACCAGGTATAAAAAAAGGCAAAAAAAGTATGTGTAGTTATTGCCCAGCCAAAAAACGACGTATGACTGTTTATTACTGCGCTAAATGTAAGAAAAACTATTGCTTAGAACATCGATCTTCAAACTGCAGTTCCTGTGACAAAAAATGAAAGGCTGGCTTCAAATTAGTTTATAGATAAAAATGTGATGTAACCATAATTTTAATTTAGTGTTTTATAAAGTTTATATATTGTATAATAATATTGATGCCAAAAAGAGCAAAAATATAATAGTATTTTTTTTATCAGACTGATGTAAGAGTGTTATGTTTCAAAAAAAATTGTTTGTTATTGTAAGATTTAAGTCTTACTTTAAGGCTAATTTTGATTATAAAAAAAAATTATTTTAGTTTTTAAAAGGGTAAAAGTTTGCCAAATAATTAATATAATTTTTTAAAAATGTAATAAATAACTAATATAAAAATTGGTGTTTTTTTAAAAAGTATCATCATTAGTATTAAGCTGTCGTAAATTTATATTCATTAGTATTATTTTCGCAATAGCACGCGGTACGGAACGGACGTGTTGCAAGTCAATCGAATTAAAAATAAATAATAAGTGTGTGACTCTGAGTGTTTTGAGCCCAAAAATGGGCACTAAATGTGACGGCTGCCATGCCGTAATATGTGATGATCTCAGGATGCAGTGTTCGGAGAAAAATTGTGGTAAATCTTACCATCTTGCGTGTCTTGGATTGGGGAAGGAAAAGCTGGAGGCTACCACAGGGGAAAGTGGAAGTAAATGGCTATGCCCAGAGTGCACGAGCATTATCCCTGAAGGTGGTAATTTGAACACGCCAGTACGAGGACCCAAGCAAGTGAATAAGGAACCAGTTACACCTAGCTACGTCAATATCAAGCGAGGTGGCGGCGGCGGTCCGACTACCGTTGATTCTATAGTAGTAGAAAATGAGATACTGAAAGAGTTAAGAGCGTTGAGATATGATTTTAATTGTCGACTAGATAGACAAGCAAAGGAGTACGACCTACTTCAAAAGAGATTTGTTGTTACGGAAAACGAATTACAAAAAGTACAAAAGATTTTGGAGGTAGTTCAAGAAAAAGTAAATAAAATAGATCTTTTAGAGGCTAATATTAAAATATTAGAAAAGAAAAAGGAAGAACTAGAATCAATTTGTAATATGGAGAAAAGTCAGCAGTCAGCAGTCCAGCAGCCGGAAAAGTCAGTTTTAACGTTTGCAAATGTTGCAAAGAAACAAACTCAAAAGAAGGCAGCGGATAATAAAAGTGTGGCCATGAAACCCACGGAGCCGATTGTGCACAAACAATGTATTGTGATAGATTCACAAAATGATCTAACGGATATTACTATTCAAAAAGAAAATAAAATGGAAACTAGTAATTGGACGGTGGTAAACAAGAAAAAGAGATATCCCAACGATGAAGTAAAAAAAGGAGAAAGTACGAATTCAACTGAAATTAAGGGATCAGAGAGAAAAAGGTACCTGCATGTTTGGCGGTTAGACACAGAAACCACAATTGAAAGCCTACAAAAGTATGTTAAAAATATTTGTGGAAATGAAGTGCCCATAAAGATTGACCAAATAAAACATAAGACTCAAAGAGACTATTCTTCATTTATTATAGCACTCCCTGAAAGTAAATATAACGTATTATGCCAACCAGAACACTGGCCTATAAATATTGAATTTTGCGAGTGGGTGTGGTTTCGTCGAAACACCCGTGAGCAACAAAGTGACAAAAAATAGTAAGAATATACAAATTTACTATCAGAACGTGAGAGGACTTAGAACGAATACAAGCGATTTCTATTTGGCTATTGCTTCATCTGATTCTGATTTATTCATCATTACGGAAACAGGTTGTAATGAGTCGATTTACGACGGTGAGCTGGTCCCACCAGGTCATAGTATTATTCGGTGTGACCGAACAGATGGACGCAAACAAGGCGGCGCGTTTTTAGTGGCCACACCGCGTTTCGAACTGAGACGAATTACGATACCTGACAATGTAAACATTGACAATCATATATTCGAAATAGTTTGCGCTACTGTCTACCTTCGAAACCGGTTTTTGTTTTTGTTGTGCGCTGTTTATATACCGCCTAATAGTAGTGAATGTGAATATATGGTAATGTTTAGAATAATTGAGCAGCTATGTAACAGTTACGACAAGGTTTTAGTGTTAGGAGATTTCAATATGTACTCTTGTCCACTTAGTGTAAATCAATATTTTGAATATTTTATAACTTATTGTGGGTTCATTCAGAGTAACAATATTTACAATTGTAATGATAGATGTCTAGATCTAGTATTGAGCACGGTTGAGGAGCGGGGAGATGGTGTGCGCGTGAGCGGGGCGACCCAGCCGTTGGTGCCGGTCGACGTACAACATCCACCGCTCGATGTAACTGTCTGCTTGCGATCGCTTACTCACACTGACACTATCGCGCATTCAAGGTCAAACACATTTTCAAACATCACCAAAATACCTCCGCAATGGCATTTTAAAAAAGCTAACTTTCCTTTGTTGTATCATTTAATTGAGACCACAGACTGGTCTTCCATATATGAATTAAATTTAGAAATGAGTTTAGATTACTTCTACGAGTCTATTAATAAAATATTAGAACAATGTGTTCCAAAAAAAATTCAATGTTATAGTAAGTCTAAATACGTGTATCCTGAGTGGTATACCGCCGATGTTATCCGATTAATACAACAAAAAGCTACTCTTCATAAAGTATACAAGAAAAGTAGATCAGGTTTAGATTACGAGGTTTTTTCACAATTTAGGGCTAAGGTCAAACAAAGCATAAGAGAAGCGTATACACACCATCAGCATATCGTTCAAAGTAATTTACAGGAAAACCCTATATCTTTCTGGAGGTATATAAACTCCAAAAAAAGCAATAGAAGTCCTCGGAAAATGTATAAAAACGGTGAACTTCTGACGAATGAACAGTCAGTACATGAGTTAGCCAATTACTTCTATTCGGTGTACAGTCCGTGTAAGGCTAAATTAGATGTAAATTCAGCGATACAGGTGGCTGGCAGTGAGAACGCGGCAGCACGCGTACACCTTAGCGAGTTACAGCTCAGTGAGGTACAGCACGCCCTTAAACAACTTAAGCCAAAGAAATCGACAGGACCAGATGGTATACCACCGTATATATTTAGAGACTGCCGATCTGTTCTAGCTAAGCCTTTGCTTCATATATATAACCAATCCCTGAGAGCAGCAGTATTTCCGGAAAGATGGAAGACGACTAGGGTAGTACCAGTACCGAAAGCTGGTGCCAAAGGAAACCTGGATGGTAATAGACCTATCGCAGTCCTGTCGACTCCAGCAAAAATATTTGAGTCAGCTATACAGAAGAGCGTATATCATCAAATGGGTATACAATTATCGGATTCACAACACGGGTTTCGGCCGAATAGAAGTACAAGCAGTAATCTTCTTGCGTATATGGCGGACGTGTTACCGACGGTGGACGCGGGCGGGCAGGTCGACGCAGTCTATTTCGACTTCAAAAAAGCGTTTGACCTTGTAGATAATGATATCCTACTCAGAAAGCTAGCAGGCATTGGTTTTACACCACACTTACTCAACTTCTTTGCTAGCTACATGACAGACAGACAGCAATATGTAGAATATGCAGGATACCGATCAGACACATATTTCACGAGGTCTGGAGTAAGCCAGGGTAGTAATTTAGGTCCTTTGGAGTTCATAATAATGATAAATGATCTCCCCAAAATGGTCCAAGAAGCAAAATGCCTATTATTTGCAGATGATTTTAAATTATACCTACCTATAGTATGTAAGGAGGATTGCACGAGGCTACAAAGTGATATAGATAGGGTGACTAGGTGGAGCAAGGAAAACAACTTGCAGCTTAACACCTCAAAATGTGTCACAATTACATTCTCTCGTAGCCACAACCCTATTGTACATAATTATATGATAGAAGACTGTGTACCCATGACTAGGGTGAAGGAAGTTCGTGATTTAGGAGTGGGTATGAATACAGGATTAACTTTTCGTGAACACATCATTAAATGTTGTAAAAAAGCTTACAAAAGTTTGGGTTTCATACTACGCACAGTTAATAATTTCACAAATATTTACGCAATTACTGCATTATATAATACACTGGTTAGGAGCCAACTGGAATACAATGCGATGATTTGGTCGCCGCACGAAAACAAGTACACTCTTATGCTGGAGCGAGTACAAAATAAATTTTTAAGATACCTGTACATGCGACTGTATGGAGTGTATCCACTCTATCCATTAATGTATTCAACATTGTTCATTTTAGGTATGGTAGGTTACAATGAAATCAGGGTTAGAAGGGAATTTACTCTTGCACGCTATTTGTACACAGTTCTGATAGGCAGAGTACATAACACAGACGTGCTGGATCAGTTGGCACTCCGAGTCCCTGACCGGTACGTATATCGCAGACGCCGGCCGCAGCTGCTGGCGGTACCGCGCGCGAGGACTAACTTGCTGCAGCACGCGCCGCTCACGCGCGCACTCAGAACACTAAACAGAGTCCAAGATAAAATTGACATATTTTGTTGTACTCTGAGTGAATTCACGAAGGTCACATTATATGTAATAAGTTATAGTTAAATCTAGGTTTTTTATGTAATTTTTTGTTTATTTTTTTTATTTTTATAATCTGTTGTTAGTAGGTAATAATTTTTGTTAGTATTTTATTTAGGTAGGAAATGCTTTTACTTTTATTATATATTTACTTCTATTATATTCTTATTGTTGATTTTAGGTAATAATTTTTGTTAAATCTTAGGATAAGTTACTCTATCGCATTAGGAAACTGTAAAGATAGATGTAAGAGAGAATAAATAAATAAATAAATAAATAAATATTAGTATTCTAAGGTTTTACTAGTAAATAATTAAAAAATACATGAGTGCAGTTCACACAAGGATGGATGTGAGGGATGCGAGAGAGGTGTATCAAAAATGTGCCAAATGGAAGTTCGTAGTCTTCGTCGACTCCCATGGATAAAAGGCGTGAGTGTTATATAATGTAACAAAAAACTTGAGAGTCAAGGGACACCCGGATGGAACGGAGTTCCTACTATATATATACTCTCGACATCGTAAACACAACAGCGTATAGCTTAGAACACGCACGGCTTGCTAAATACATACGCATTGATATTGTAGTAAAGAGAGGTTATAATGCGTACTTGCTAAAATACATAAGCATTTATTATTAGTCTGAATAAAATCTCTACTTACCTAACTCCATCAGCAATATCCGGAACTTGTGCAGAAACACTGTCGGGATTCATTATTGTTATTATTTTTTATTATTTATTATGTACAAAAAACCTGTATACACTCAACAGAAATAATCGTCGCGACACCACATTGTTCAATACGAAATAGAAAGACGAAACGAAAATAACTGGCTTGCTTTCTATGAGAGAGAGAGAGAGAAGAGAGAGAGAGAGAGAGAGAGAGAGACAGAGCGCGCACGTCGCATGGCTTACAACTGTAGCAAAAAGTGTCGTTACAACTTTTGCTCTTAATTTTTTCCGTCTAGCCCCCTTTCGCAACGCGCGATAAGGAACTTCGTTCCAATAATTTTGAAGAAATTTTTATATGAATTATATAGAACCAACACGTTGACTATCATGTCCTTTGCAGCAGTTTTTTCAGCGGTTGTTTTCATTCATGTATTCTTTATTATTACAATTTATCATCATTTTTTTGTAGAATATTTATTTGATAAAACATTTAAACTTGTTGAACGACAAACTTTGAACACTAAACAGGCACTAGCATCGCATAAGCGTGACGGGTCATTCATTACCATAGACCTTTTAAGGCTTGCTACGATGCAGCTATGTTATATGCTTGCTATGGTTTTAGCACAAATGCGTCGGCTACAACGGGAAAAATACAAACATAAAATAACAGTATAATGCAGCAGCTATGTGGTAGCATGTTTTGTGTGGCGTTTTACAGTTAACGAGACATCCATCTACTCCTCAAGATGACAACGCATCTGCATTTTGATTCGTCATCGATGATGGTCTAAGTAGGTGTCTATAGGTCCTAGTGTAACACTCAGAGGAGGACGATGACTCGGAACTGATCTCGAGACATCGTGATAGCACTGCGAGGGTGCTGGGGGCAGCAAGTGCTGCCTCCGCGATATGCATGTAGCAAAGTGAATAATTTTTTTAATGAAATAGTCGCAATTTAAGCCATAAGAGTTGGTGCAAACAATGCAACTCCGCATCCTTTATTCTAATTTTGAAAACAAAACGTCGTTGAAAAACAATATATATTGTTCTGTGAGGTAGAAATATAAAAATTGAAAAGTTTTTTGTTAGTCAATATCAATGTTTTGAAAGATTGAAGTCAGACAACAAATGAAGGGTCCATAGTTTCTCGCACTTCAAAAAGATTTACTAATTTATATAAGCAAACTTCA